TTATAAATTTTTAATTTAACCATTAAATGTCGGTTTCCAAATTTCCCATCAGTTGCTTTACGTAGCATTTTTCGAACCAAGGTCTTCTGTTGTTTCCGTCGTTTTTCAAATAAGTATATAATATTTTAACATCAAATTGAGTAATTTAGTATATATGGGAATTTCCAATTATATGCTGGTTATGTATATATATACAACCTTGCATTTATAAACTAGAATCAATCATATGTTTATTTCCAAAAACTACGACTTGGTAAGATAGATAAAATATGCTATCTTCCCCCATGAATATGGAATCGGCAATTGCTCAACATTTAGTTGAAAATATAGCTTGCGCCAAGTTTTTAAAAAAAAGTGGTTTAAAATTATTCATACAGCCGATTCCAACAATCATTTGAAGATTTTGGAATCGGTCTGCATAGGATTAAAAAACCTTCTCTCTGCCAGCAGAAAGAATTTGTAAAGTCTCTTCATCTGTTGGGGGATATTTTATTTTAACTGTCCCTCGTTAATTTATTTACACGTTATTTCCCCTCCCTCGTTACAAATATATACACTTGTTTGTTAATTTTTTTTTGTTTTTATTTCCCCCTCTTTTTTGCTCTTCATTGTCGTTAATATTCTTTTCGTTGATACAACGATTGTTTCCTGATAATTTGATGTTGGTTGAAAGGGTCTTAGGGACTTTTATAATTAAAATCAATACATTCCTTGTTTTTAAAACTATATATATATATATATATATATATAAATATATATAATATATATATATATATTTATATATAAATTATGCTCAATATCAGAGATAGATATTATTTAAATAAAAATTTTTTTTTTTTATTAACACTTTTTATTATTGCAGTCCTTTACGATTGCGTCTACCATTTATTTTGTCTGTCGCCCCTTTGTATGTTGATTTCAATTTTTACTTTATATATATATATATATATATATATATATATATATATATATATATATATATTATTAAAAAATATGATTCCATCGCTAAATAATATTTACCATGTTTCAAAAAACAAAGAAAATTATTTCCCATTCATTTATAGAAAAAAAATTAAATTAAAGTCCCCAGTTCTGTTTCATCCTCAATTTTTTTTGGAATAACTAATTTAGAAATTTATGGTTTTTTATAAATATTCACATTCGTAATATCTGTTTCTATGGCTATGGAGGATACCATTCATTTAATAAAAAGCGGTGGGGTATTTTTTTTTTTTGAAATCTATTGTTTCAACATATTTTTTTCAAAAAGACTTTAAGTCAAAATAGCGTCAGGTTGCCTTTTTTTTTTTACGAATGATGGCATCCGTTCAATATTATTGTCTGGTCTTTTTATAACGACATAATTTTTTTATTTAATCCGTATAAATTTTCAAGAGGATATAAATCATTTGTCTGTGTCAAAATACAGAGCAAAATTATCAATTAATGAATATCAAACACTTAAAATCCCAACCATTTTTATTTCATGAAATCTATAAAAATAGCTCTTAATCTTTCAGTCCTGCAATGACAACAGAAGAAATTACTCCATTTTAAAATCAAGAAATACTGCTATCTTAATTAGAGAGTGAGAAAAGAAAGATGTAAGTTTAAGGTCATTTAAGGGTAGGTGGGGAGTATAAAACTCTAGGATTTTATCAGCATACTTTAAGTTTGTAGTTATCCAATTTAATATACTGATTTCATATTATATTATATTACAGTAATGGAAATAATTTGGAATTAGATAACACAGTCATAAAAAAAAAACACAATTCTAAGGTTCAGATACATTCAATTTAACAAAGAATTTTTAATTTATATTAATATTAGTGTTTATTTAAGGGCATTTTAAACAATATTCAGCATTTAGCGAATGATTTAGAATTTACCGTAAAATAGTTCAAATTATTAATATAATTACACAATAAATTTAAATTACCTAAGAGATGCCATAATCCTAAAACTCCATAATATGGTTATATTTATTAAATTTTGAGAGAATAAAATATTCTTTAAAAAAAATAAAAATAAAACAATCAAATTCTGTTTTCTCATTTATATATATATATATATATATATATATATATATATATATATATATATTTATTTATAAAAATTTTTAAAAAACTCGAATTCCAATCGCATTCATTATTTCTCATGTTTTTCAAAAAAGAATCGAAAAATTTCTCAATATAATTATTTGAATTTTAATTGAGTTAAAATATTTTAAGCTGTTCCATCATCAAAAAAAAATTTTTCTTTGGAATAACGTTTTCTAAAATTTACGTGTTTTAATAATTGAAATCAAAAAATTTCCATGGTAACAGCTCAGCATAAAATAATTGTTTATTGGGTAGGCGTGTGGTGGGTGTTAATATATATATATATATATATATATATATATATATATATATATTTCTGTTAGATTTACTTTTTGCTCTTTTTTTAGCAAAATATTTCTTCTCCTGATGATTTTCATTTTTGGCCGAAAACAAAT